TGCAAGGCCCTTGGACCAGTAGGGTATTACCTTGGTCTTCATGTGGAGCGGGACGAGGTGAAGGGATGGTTGAGGCTTCACCAACACAAGTACCTTGCAGCCATGGGGGAGGGGTATGGGCTGGAGGAAGGGAGGAGTGTGAAGACTCCTCTACCCTCAGGGTTTCAGCTACACCTTGATGAAGAGGAGGGTGAGGTGTTGGAGCCCGATTTGCAGCGTCGGTTCCAGTCAATGGTGGGGAGCTTGATGTATGCTTCGGTCAACACTCGCCCCGATATTTCACTTGCTGTTTTGCAGCTGGCTCGTGTGGTGTCTAGGCCCCTTCAAGAGCACCTTGATGCAGCACAGAGGCTGGTGAGGTACTGCATGGCAACCTCAAGGGTGGGGCTGCAATATTCAGTGCATGGGCAGCTGAAGCAAAAGGGAGTGGAGGAGGTGAGCACGAAGACCGGTGCACCTGCAAGGCATGGACACTTGTACCTCTCGTGCTTCACTGACGCTACATGGGCAAGTGACATCGGTGATGCAACATCCCATGGTGGCTATGTATGCTGTGTTTGAGGGAGTCCAGTGAGCTGGAAGTCTAAGAAGCAAGGGGAGATAGCTCACTCATCAACGGAGAGCGAGTACATGGCGTTGTTTCATGGGGTGAAAGAGGTGGTTTGGATGAGGAGGTTGCTTGAGGAGTTGGGGCAGGAGCAAGAGGGTCCTACACCTGTGTTTTGTGACAGCCAAGGAGTAATTGCAATGGCTCGCAACGCTGTGCTCCATGGGCTGAACAAGCACATGCATATCAAAAGGCATTGGGTGAGCAAGGAGGTGAAGAAGGGCACGGTCTCCTTGCACTACATCAACACTACCAAGAAACCTGCAGATTTCTTGACAAAGCGGCTTGCAGAGCATCAGCATCGGACCTGCGCCACCTTGTGTGGCATGTCCTTCAACTAAGGGAGGCAGCTTCACGGAGCAGCTAAGGGATGAATGAGAGCACGATGAGAGGGAGTTTGTTGTGCCAACACATTACAGTGGCACGGTCATCGCACTCCCATTCAGCCTACAAGCCCTCTCAGCTTCTGGAATTTTGTGAGGAGGATGTTCAACATGTGTTCTTCAAACCCTCAAAGTTTCATAGGTTTTAAAGCAGTTACCAAGGCATGACAACATTTTATGTTTCAAGACTTATGGCATCCCGGAAGTGTGTGTTACTCCTTTTTGGTAACACCCGAGTTCACCATTTCGGCTGCTGACTCGTTTCCAGAGCTGTGTATGGTCTGCAATTCGGTCTTGCAGTCCTTTACCTTGTTGTGCAGGTGTTCACAAAGTTTCAGAACGATCCAACATTGGAGCATTGCGTGACAGATGTCGAAAGTCGCTGTTCCGTAGTCATGGTGCACTGTTGGCAGCATTTCCCTTGCCACCCTTTCATTGTTGTCATGCCAATGGTGCAGGGACAGAGAATGAGACAAGAAGTACAGGTAGTCATGTGGGACTCTACAACCCTCCTTTTGAGAAGTGTGGTCTTCCTGGAAGCAGCTTGCAAGAGGGTGCAAGTGGGAAGACAAGCTGACTCATGGTTGGCTTAACTCACAATTGGTTGCCTTGAGTACAGCTCTGAACATCCATGTGTGGTTGGTTTTGCTGACCTAGCTAGGACGTTTCCCATCCCTCTCTAGCCTTTCTCCCCTAGGACTCAACCTTCTCTGAGTTCCCAGGATGATCCCAACCCCTTAAGAGTCCCCTAGGCAATGTTGTACCTCACCTCTTCCTTGCATCAATGAGAATACACGTTTTTCAGCCGAGCTTACGTTTTCGTTCACTGCGTAGTGCACACACATCTGATAATACCAAATAATATACCGTTGGAAAGCACACACCACCGCTGTCCAAGTTTCAGCCTTGTATGTTTTTTGAGCTTATCGTGACGGCGTTTTGAACAGAGGCGGTTTGAAGACGTCAGATTCTGCTTAGGGGGTTTCATGGGCATCCGCGACCACTACATCACAAAAACCCTATGCCAAGTTTGGACAAATTTTGATTGGGATTGTCTTCGCGTAAAAAATTCGGGACCGAATTTCGACCGACGGTTTGAGTCATTTGATAGGAGCTCCGACACACATCTCGCGACAAGGCTTGGCTCGGGTCAAGTTCCAATTTGGCACGCATGCTGTTCCGGCTGACATTCGCGCGCAATCCGTTTAGGGTCAGTTTTGTGACCAAATCATTTAAAAATGGATTCAGTTTTTGTTTTATTCTGGGAATTGAGGATTTCAGAATTACATTCAATATTCGCGGGTTATAGCTTCCATTATTCAGCATTCTAACAACCAGCAGTTTTAACACCCAGTCAAATAGTCTACGCAATGGTGGGCCCTGCAAGCCCCCGGTAGGCAAGAACAACATCTCCAAGGTCGCCATCGTCGATGAGGAACTTGTTCGGGAAGACGATCGCACCCTGAGCCGGATCGTGTGGGATGCGTCGCTCCACAACGGCAAAGTGTATCATCTGTTTGACCTTGTCACACCACTCGAAGTAGTCCGGCCTGTTTTGTTCCGGCTGGGCCGGAATACGCTTGCGGCGCTTGTCCTGCAGAAGGGGCCACTCGATCTGCAATGTGGTGTAGGGTTGGGTGGATGGTGTATGAGGGGAGGTTATGGGCATATGATCCAACTGAAAGCAGTGAAGACGTCACACCCTACGTAACCGCAAACGCCTAAGCGACCTGGGTTTTAGATGAAGTACAGGCGAGGGGTTTAGGGGATGAGGCATGGGTGTAGTGTCACTTATCTACCTCCTTACCGAAAACAGGCCCCATGCCACCATGCGGCTCTTGAACTTGGTGAACACGACCCCGCTCCTCTTGAAGGAGAGCTTGAACGCATAAGCAAACAAGGGGTTGCTGAAGGGCGTTCCGGTGGCCTTGTCAAAGTGCCAGTTGAGGGTCCACTGTTCTGCATTTTGGGAGGGAGCGTATGGGTTGGAAAGGGGGTGCAGATAGATCAAGTGGGGGGGTGAGAGACAGGGTCAGAGTACCACGGCACGGTTATTTGTAGCTGCTGACTGGCTTATGGGCAGGGGGATATGGTGTGTTTGAGACGCACATACCATCTCTGTACTCGGCCAGGAGCTGCTTGTCGTTGAACCACATCTCCGGGCGTAGCTCAGTGGGCAGGCTATCCACCGCATTGGCGTAATCGGAGAGACCCATGCCGGCGTACGTTGCTGGCCTGAGGGTGCTGTTGATTGTTGACCTGGTTGATGACATCTGGTGGTTGAAGACACCCATGGTTGACTTGTCGTTGTGCAACCACAGCAGCTTCATTGACTCTAGCCCTTCGTGAGACAAGTGGACAGCGAACGCCTCGAACACTTCCTCCGGTGCAGGGTAATACTGAATCTTCTCCGGGGGGTTCGGAAACAGGAGCTGAGAGCACACTAAGTAGGCTTTGCTTTGCGCATGGGTGTGGATTTACAACACGACACGGGGAGAGAGAAACCATCAATTATGACTCTGGCCGCGTGACCAACCCTCCCGCGTCCGCCACGTCAGGGAGGAACCAGCCCCACTTGCCACGTCACATCCATCCACCCCATGCCACGTCACCCCCCACCCACCCTCCTGCATCCGCCAAATCCACCAACGACCCTCCCCACGTGACACGTCACACCCACCCTCCCCATGCCACGTCACCCCCACCCACCTGACACGTGTAGCGTCGTCACGCGCCGCTCCCGTGTACCCTTCCAAGCCGCCAGGTCAGCACCAAGCCACACATCCCGCCACGTCACACGCCCTTGCGTCTGCCACGTCAGGGATCAGCCAGCCCCACGTGACACGTCACACCCACCCTCCCCATGCCACGTCACCCCCCACCCACCTGACACGTGTAGCGTCGTCACGCGCCGCTCCCGTGTACCCTACCAAGCCGCCACGTCAGCACCAAGCCACACATCCCGCCACGGCACACCCTCCTGCATCCGCCACGTCAGGGAGCAGCCAGCCCCACGTGACACGTCACACCCGCCCACCCCATGCCACGTCACCCCCCACTCACCTGACACGCGTCGCCTTGTTGAGCGCCGCTCCCTTGTGCCCTTCCAAGCCGCCACGTCAGCACCAAGCCACACATCCCGCCACGTCACACGCCCTTGCGTCCGCCACGTCAGGGATCAGCCAGCCCCATGTGCCACGTCATACCCGCCCACCCCATGCCACGTCACCAAGCCACCCACCGCACACGTGTAGCGTTGTCACGCGCCGCTCCCGTGTACCCTTCCAAGCCGCCACGTCAGCACCAAGCCACACATCCCGCCACTGCACACCCTCCTGCATCCGCCACGTCAGGGAGCAGCCAGCCCCACGTGACACGTCACACCCGCCCACCCCATGCCACGTCACCCCCCACCCACCTGACACGCGTCGCCTCGTTGAGCGCCGCTCCCTTGTGCCCTTCCAAGCCGCCATGTCAGCACCAAGCCACACATCCCGCCACGTCACACGCCCTTGTGTCCGCCACGTCAGGGATCAGCCAGCTCCACGTGCCACGTCATACCCGCCCACCCCATGCCACGTCACCAAGCCACCCACCGCACACGTGTAGCATCGTCACGCGCCGCTCCTGTGTACCCTTCCAAGCCGCCACGTCAGCACCAAGCCACACATCCCGCCACGGCACACCCTCCTGCATCCGCCACGTCAGGTAGCAGCCAGCCCCACATGCCACGTCACACCCGCCCACCCCATGTCACGTCACACCCCACCCACCTGACACGCGGCGCCTCGTTGAGCGCCGCTCCCGTGTGCCCTTCCAAGGTGCCACGTCAGCACCAAGCCATACATCCCGCCACGTCACACCCTCTTGCGTCCGCCGTCTAAACCCACCAATCCAACCCACTTGCCACGTCACACACAGAGATCCGAAAGAGCCACGTCAGCCCCCGCCCACATGTGGAGTCACGTGTCGCCCTGCACCGCTCCCGCGCACCCTTTCCAACCGCCAGGTCATTCCCAACCCTGCCCTGGTTGCCACGTCAACCCCAACCCGCCACATACCGGGAATGGGTTGGTCTCCTGCAGCACAAGCACACGTGCCTTGTCCACGGCACTCATCGGCGGCGGGGTACCACCCATCGGCACCACTGCGGCCCCCCCGGCATAGCTGGCAGTTGCTCCCCGACGCAGGCCGAGCTGAGCAAACATGGCGTACATCTCATACCGTAGCTGCTGGAACTCGTCTCGTGTAACAAACTGCCCGTGCTCTGCACCTTCAGCCAGCGCATCCATGACATCCGGAAAAGGGTTTGTAGAAACCCCTCTCTGGCCAAGGGGATCAACGTCTTCTGCAGCAGCACCGTGTGCCCTCACACTATCATGCTGGCGGGAAAAGGGAAGCTCAGGGAAGGGATTGGCAAAGGTGCTTGGTTGATGCACACGCGATGGACCGGCGAGGGGGGAGACCGCCCTGCCCCGGGCTGGAGAAGCGTGTAGTGGCCGAAATGGGTATGAGGGAGAGGCGAGTGGGGAGTGCGTGACGGGGGCTGGTGGAGGGGATTCGGATTCCTCGCCTGTTGCCGCGCCGGGTGCAGTCGCAGCGACTTTGCTCGGGCCGGAGTATGGCGTGAAGAACCTTGGTCCTCCTGTGGATAGCGGTGCCACACTCGCTCTTCCGGCCCCTTTCGCTAGCTGCATCCGTTGCACGGTTACCGGTGGCCCAATGCCTGTAACACGGGGGGCTGAGAGTCACACGGAGGATGAGCACGGAGCTGGTGTCTGTAAGGTGCATTTGGACACGTGCAAACATGACGAGCAACCGCATGATTCTAACATGGGTGTAGCACAGAACTGTAGTGTATAGTCACGCCTTACCCGGGTTAGCCGATTCGTCAACCTTCTCCTTCCTTGCGGCAGGAAAAGACGGGTGGAACACAGTGTTGTTAGGGTCTGTTCAGCACAAACCGTGGCAGCTATGCCAGTCGTTTGTGACACGTTGCTTACCACGTTGCTGTCCCTTCGGTTTTGCTGCCTGCTCCTTATCGTTGCCCCGTTTCTGCGGTGTGCTTTGGCGGGTGCTGCCTCGTTTACGAGCAGGTTCTTTCTTTGCCGAACCCACAGGTACCCCTTTCGCGCGCGGTCTTTTTCCGTCTCCATCGCCTTTAGCTCCCTGTCTCACTTGCTTCCTTCCACCCCGGTCAAGTTCAACCTTCACCTTGCGCGCCTTCGATTTGCCCGCTGGTCCGGCACGCATTGCGTCACCCGCCCCGCGTTTCCGGGATTGTCCAGACCGTCCCCCCACCTTCCCTGTGCCACTCCCCCGTCCGCCTCGCGCGCCCCTCCTTTCCTTGCCGGCTCCTCCTCCTCCTCCTCCTCATCCGCCCCTTCCTCCACCTCCTCTTCCTCCTCGTCGTCCTCCTCCTCCTCATCCTCCTCCTCATCATCCTCCTCCTCCTCTTCCTCCTCCTCCTCCTCCTCCTCCTACTCCTCCTCCTCCTCCTCCTCCTCCTCCTCCTCCTCCTCCTCCTCCTCCTCCTCATCCTCCTCCTCCTCCTCCTGCTCCTCATCCTCGTCGTCCCCCTCATCGTCCTCCTCATCGTCCTCATCCTCATCCTCCTCCTCCTCCTCCTCCTCCTCCTCCTCCTCCTCCTCCTCCTCCTCCTCATCATCGTCGCCCTCCTGCTCATCCTCGTCCTTTTCTCCCTCCCCTGCATCCTCGTCCTCCTCCTCCGCATCCTCCTCAGCCTCCTCCTCCCCATCCCCCTCGTCCTCAACATCCGCTTCACCAGGGCCTTCTTTGCCGCGCTTCGGCCTATTCCCCCCCAAAGATTGCTTCCCTCTCCGTCCGCTAGATGGTTTCCTCGGACCGGATCCCACCTTATGCCGCATTGCATGATCTGTCGCCAAGCCACTTGGCGCCGTGATGCCTCGCATTGTCTTAACTTCAGCACCACCGGCGTCGTCACCGCTGGCTGTCGTCTGCCTCCTCTTCGCGCGTATGGGCATGTCCTCAGCCACGGGGGTGTCATTCTCCTCCTCACCACCGCTCTTCCTCTGCCTACGCCTCCCGCGTCCCCCAGAGGGAGGAGATCCACCTACGTCGGCAATGTCGTGTTTCGGCCCCTCCGTGCAATCGTGCGCAGCATCCTTCTCCTTATCTATCACTGTAGCAGATATTTCGACCACAGGCGGGTGGGGCAGCGTCAGATGCTGCTGCTTTGCCTCTGCCACGGACGTCGAAGTTGCGGCCTGATCTTGGCGGGGAGAGTCGCCGTGCTTTCCTCCAGTCGCAAAGCCCTCTCTGTCCCCCGACCGGACGGCAACACTCACGCCGCCACGCCCAGGGTCTTCGTTCCCGCCGATGGTGCCGTCGTCAGAAGGACCGGGCTCGAGGGCAGCAGTGGCAACATCCGCATCGCTCCTGACGGCCGAACCACGCTTGCGTGCCGTTGGTTGCTTCCCCTTGTCCTCCGCCTTCTTCCCGGGCTTCTGCTTTCCCACCTCAGCCTTTTTCCCCACCGCACGTTTCGTTTGATTGGTTTGCGCGGCGGCCTTTTTAGTAGCCCTAGATCTGGCCCCACCCTCTTGGTCGGTCTGATGCGACATCCTTCGTGTCGTGCGTCGTTTCGCCTCCTCCTGCTTTTCTGTTTGCCGAGTAGCAGGTGTCATGAGGGTGGTACAAATGCAAGTTTTAAATTGCGGGATTGGGTAGCTGAGTTTAAAAAAAAAAAACCGGAAAGGTTTGTTGCTATTTGACCCCGTCCCGGTGAAGCCAATACTTTTTCACCCTAAATCGGAAGGTACAATTACACCTGAATTAGTAGCTACTAAGCACATGGCGTCAGCCCTTTCCTTCATCGCTACTCCGTCTAACTGGCGATTTGGAAACTCCTGTGTTCAGCAGCGAGCAGCGTCAAGGTAGTGGGTATGAGGGTGACGGAAGCTGGTGAGTGGGGCACGACGATAGTTGGGGTGGTTTGCGAGTCTATCGAGAGGACTGTAAGCAGAACACGCACCATCGGACGGTCTACGATTTGCCTCCCGATCAGAAACGCACTACACGCTTGATCACAGTCGCTGCTTCCGCGGCGAATGTCCAGCTTGGCTGGTGCGGTAGTGGAGAGGGTCGTTTGAGATGCGTCGGCCAATCAGCGCCAACGCATCAATCTCCACGGAATCTAGTACCGTTTCGACACCACCAATCATCACATCCTGCAAATTACAGTGCCTAGTGCAATGATCAAATTTTAACATAGTAGCTGAATACACTTGCAAAGTACAACTAAGACAATTTGTAGTGAATAGCCGTTTATGGTGTCATATGGTGTGAAGTTTAGTGAGTGCATGGGGCTTAGGACGCACTCTTTGTGCTTCCAACTCGTGGACTATGGAATGCTATACTGAGCACACATTGAGAATGGGCGACGGATACTGGTCGTTGGAAGTTGTTCAAGCACGACGTGTACTAGTGCCAACTGGAATGGAGATGTAGTGTGGTGTTGGCTTGGGCTCCATTCTTGCGTGGGCCCTCGACATGGTGAATTGAGGGTGTGGGATGAAGCAGAGGCCCAACGCACGAGCGTTGATGCGCAATTGACATCGCTGTTTAGTTTGGCGACGTTGCTGCGTTCGCATCCATACAATGCTTGCGCGACCAGGCGAATCCGTTGTGGAATGGTGTTGGATGGGGCTCCATTCTTGCATGGGCCCTCCGCCAGGTGCATTGAGGGTGTGGGATGAAGCACAGGCCCAACGCACGAGCGTTGATGCGCAATCGACATCGCTGTCTAGTTTGGTGACGTTGCTGCGTTTGCATCCATACAATGCTTGCGCGACCAGGCGAATCCGTTGTGGAATGGTGTTGGATGGGGCTCCATTCTTGCATGGGCCCTCCGCCAGGTGCATTGAGGGTGTGGGATGAAGCACAGGCCCAACGCACGAGCGTTGATGCGCAATCGACATCGCTGTTTAGTTTGGCGACGTTGCTGCGTTTGCATCCATACAATGCTTGCGCGACCAGGCGAATCCGTTGTGGAATGGTGTTGGATGGGGCTCCATTCTTGCATGGGCCCTCCGCCAGGTGCATTGAGGGTGTGGGATGAAGCACAGGCCCAACGCACGAGCGTTGATGCGCAATCGACATCGCTGTTTAGTTTGGCGACGTTGCTGCGTTCGCATCCATACAATGCTTGCGCGACCAGGCGAATCCGTTGTGGAATGGTGTTGGATGGGGCTCCATTCTTGCATGGGCCCTCCGCTAGGTGCATTGAGGGTGTGGGATGAAGCACAGGCCCAACGCACGAGCGTTGATGCGCAATCGACATCGCTATTTAGTTTGGCGACGTTGCTGCGTTTGCATCCATACAATACTTGCGCGACCAGGCGTATCCGTTGTGGAATGGTGTTGGATGGGGCTCCATTCTTGCATGGGCCCTCCGCCAGGTGCATTGAGGGTGTGGGATGAAGCACAGGCCCAACGCACGAGCGCTGATGCGCAATCGACATCGCTGTTTAGTTTGGCGACGTTGCTGCGTTTGCATCCATACAATGCTTGCGCGACCAGGCGAATCCGTTGTGGAATGGTGTTGGATGGGGCTCCATTCTTGCATGGGCCCTCTGCCAGGTGCATTGAGGGTGTGGGATGAAGCACAGGCCCAACGCACGAGCGTTGATGCGCAATCGACATCGCTGTTTAGTTTGGCGACGTTGCTGCATTTGCATCCATACAATGCTTGCGCGACCAGGCGTATCCGTTGTGGAATGGTGTTGGATGGGGCTCCATTCTTGCATGGGCCCTCTGCCAGGTGCATTGAGGGTGTGGGATGAAGCACAGGCCCAACGCACGAGCGTTGATGCGCAATCGACATCGCTGTTTAGTTTGGCGACGTTGCTGCGTTCGCATCCATACAATGCTTGCGCGACCAGGCGAATCCGTTGTGGAATGGTGTTGGATGGGGCTCCATTCTTGCATGGGCCCTCCGCCAGGTGCATTGAGGGTGTGGGATGAAGCACAGGCCCAACGCACGAGCGTTGATGCGCAATCGACATCGCTGTCTAGTTTGGTGACGTTGCTGCGTTTGCATCCATACAATGCTTGCGCGACCAGGCGAATCCGTTGTGGAATGGTGTTGGATGGGGCTCCATTCTTGCATGGGCCCTCCGCCAGGTGCATTGAGGGTGTGGGATGAAGCACAGGCCCAACGCACGAGCGTTGATGCGCAATCGACATCGCTGTCTAGTTTGGCGACGTTGCTGCGTTCGCATCCATACAATGCTTGCGCGACCAGGCGAATCCGTTGTGGAATGGTGTTGGATGGGGCTCCATTCTTGCATGGGCCCTCCGCTAGGTGCATTGAGGGTGTAGGATGAAGCACAGGCCCAACGCACGAGCGTTGATGCGCAATCGACATCGCTGTTTAGTTTGGCGACGTTGCTGCGTTCGCATCCATACAATGCTTGCGCGACCACGCGAATCCGTTGTGGTACGGTGTTGGATTGTCATCTAACCTTGCACACACATTCAAGTAGGTGCCTCAAAGGGGTATGAAGTAGAGCCACTGTTGGAAACAATGGAACTTAAACGCTTCAGCAGTGTCAAAACATTGCACCAGAAGCGAGGCAACCTACACCGAAGCACCTGCGATTCAACCCTCGGAGGTTGAATCGGCTGCAGGAAGTTACGCGAAAGTCAAAGGTCGCTGACCCTTGACCTGACAAGAACAGCGCGACAGTTAAGGACACACAACTGACTTGTTACAGAGCAGTTGCCCGAGTCGCACTGTATCGAACCCCAACAGCAACAGTAAAAGTAGTTATAACCGTATCTCTTCATATTCCCTGTATTATTATATAAGCTTGTATCCTTTCAATATAACTCAATCTACTTTGCTCTCACACACTAGTGCAAGGTCGGTTCGCAAAGCTTCATTAAACGCTTCCGCTATTACAAAAGTATTCTACCCAGAGTTATCCTCTGAAAAAGATCCTTAGGGCCTTTTCAGCCCAACAGCCACAACGCACAATCGGCGATGCGTTATCGTGAGGGCACGAAGTTCTTGAGTACTTCCCGTATGTTGCCAGACCACCCTAGAGATCTTGTATGGTTTTTAGAATGTCACGTTGTCAACTACGGGTGGATCTCGAGCAGGCATTTTCATGTGACCGTGTAGTAGTTATCATCAACGAGTTTAGTGTATAGATTAAATGCAATTGTACAATGTAATATCCTGCGCTGTATTTTGTCCGTTGTCGAGCTCACCACTGTGAGCTCACTAACGTGAGCGCGATCTCCCCCGTATAACAATTCGCAACTGAACTACAGATCCAAACGGATCTCTTCCCGCTCTTCCTCATCCCACTCGACTCTCACGCACCAAGATTGCGTGAATCCACAGGCACGTCCTTCTCACCGAGCTCGCAACGCACACACAAGACCTACCGTCTTAGAATCAAGCGCATTCTCCGCTGCTCCATGTGCCTTGTCACGACCGCGTGGCGCGCACATCGTTAGGCACGACCAAACATAAGCTGCCCGCTCAAGTGCCAGTCGTGCAGTGATACAAGCCGCCTTGAACAGTGCGCGGTTTGGCGATGACCGTGTTGCATTACCAGCCTTCTTGCACGGAGTACTTAATGCCTTCTCAAGCTTCCCACGACGCTCGTTGCTTCACAGGCCATTCCTCAACACTTAGACAGATCCGTACCGCATGGGCTCCTTACCTGGCGTTGTCTGCGAGTTTTGCAATAGATGGTTCCCCAACGCCCAAGTTTATGGCGGTCACAAGTCACGGCGGACCCCTTGCCAAGGCCTTTCCGCCCTGGCAAGGCCCTCGCAATCTGCACCATCCGGCGGACTACACACACTGCTATTCGTGCAAGAGATTCTGTCGGACGCTCCCGCTGCTCCCGCTTCACCTACCGCGTCTAATGCGTCCAACACCGACGCTGTGAATGGTCCTCCTCGCGTGCATGAAGCTGAAGATGACGCAACACCCTCGGCTGGGAACGTGGGGGCTTCTGAATCTGAGCATCAACCGCCACCCGGAACACCTTCAGATGACACGAGTGCGGATCCGGGGTGCCGCCCTGGAGTGAGTCACGCGGCCCCGCCGACAATCATCTCAGGGGAGAGCAATGCAACGCTCCTCAATCCGATTGCGTTGAAGCTGCTGCACTTCGTGAGGCGTGTAAATGGCGGAGTGGGCATGGCGGAGATCGACATCAATGGCCTGCTTCAGCTCGTGGTGGAGCCCGGCCTTGCGCCTCTTGTGATCTCAGAGATCTGGAACTGCAAGGATCTGGAGAGGTTCGAGATGGAGCGCTTGGTAGGGCTCAATCGCGGATGGTCAGTGGCGACCTTCGAGATTGAGGGTCATCCTCCACAACGCCTCCTCTTCCAGAACTCTGCGCAGGTAAGCCGGCCGTGGATGCATGGCTGCGAAATGCAAATTCCGCCTCCATTTGGTCCATGTGTGCGATCCGACCCTTCCCCGCTCCCGCCACTAAACCCCTGTTTGGTTCTCCCCCGCTCTTGATGCCGTACTCCAGGCTTTTGCTGAACTGTTTGGGCACACCAACAACGCGCCCGGCTTCAAGCTCAAGGCTCG